TCGTGTAGTTGTTGATTTGGTGTTGGTTTGATTTTTAATTAACTAGGTATCTGTGATGAGAACAGGTATGAGTTGCGAGATGAAGCAGTGGATGGAGGGGGGGAGGGGTAGAAAAAGAAGTATTCCTAAGGGAACCAGAAGAGAAGGGGAGGAAATGAAAGAATAGGGACAGAAAGGAGAGGACAAGACCGAGGCAGAGATAGACAGCGAGAGGGGTAGGGATAAGATGGGGGGGTTGGTCTGGGGGGGGGAAGGTGGAGGGGGGGGGAGGGAGTTGAAATGGAGAAGAGCGCTGATTTGAATTCCAAAGAAAGAACAAAAAAAAAAAAAGAGAGATGTAGAACCAGATTACTTTGAGCTCGAGAATTGGGCGCCTCCCCCTCCCCCCCCCCCCTTGCCCCCATCCACCGGGAGGCTTAATGACGGAGGCATCGGAGGCGAGGAGTCAAATCTTCTTAGCGCCCCCACCCTTTCCTTCCCATCCCCCCCCCCCAACGCCTCTCCTCGCCTCGCCTCCCTTCCCTTCCTCTTCACTTCTTTCCTCTCCTCTCCCTCTAACCTCCCTCTCATACTCCTCCTCCTCCTCCTCGTCCTCCTCTTCCCCTCATACCCCCCCCCCCTTCCATCTCCTCGTGGTATCCCAAGCTTTCTTCCCTTCCCATTTCCTCTTCCTCCCTCCTTCCTCTGGTTCCCTCTCTCTCTCGCGCGCCACTTACCTCACCCCCCCCCTTCACTATTCCCCATACTCTCTCTCGCGCCGCCTCTTCCCTTCGCTGTGCTTCCAGTTGTGTAGACGAATATCAAAATAAGAAAGAGAAAGAGAAGGAAAGGAAAAGGGAGAGAAAGAGAAGGAAAGGAAGAGAGAGAGAAAGAGAAGGAAAGGAAGAGAGAGAGAGAGACAGAGAAGGAAAGGAAGAGAGCGAGAGAGAGAGAAGGAGAGAGAAATAAAAGACAATCATGGCGTCTACTTCGATGGACTTTTTTTCCGCCTCTCCCTATCTCCCTCGTTTTCTTTCTGTCTCTGATGATTCCATATTAATGACACACTCGAAAACCTCTCAACACATCCTTATTTAATTAAGATTTACCTCCCGTTCTGAAGAGAGAGCAAGAAAAAAAATATATTGGAGGCGTGGAGAGGAAGGGAAGCAAAAATAAAATGTATTCGTAGCCCTTAGTTCTGATGGCTTTGGGTCCTGAATAAAGACATTTTCCATTAGCGGAACTTTGACGTTTTTAAGTGTACAACTTTCTGTTACTCTGTCTTTTTTTTATTTGTATATTTATCACGGGGGAAAGTAGGTGTAGAGAACCTGTGTTACTATTTTTTCCCTCATTATTTAATTCATGCGAAAAAAAGTATAGAGAAAGAAGAGACACGTCGTAGGTTCTTTCACTCCACCTGGAAGTGCATTAAACAATAAGGGCGCATAATGTATTGTGAATATCACTTGTCCATTCCCAAACTTTCCTCTGAATAACTCGATTATTCTGATTTTGGGGAACTGTTCGGAGTTTTGCGCGATGAAATATCGATGATGATTGGAAAGTGTGTATGTGTGTGTGTTTCGCATTAAGTGGTATTTTTCTTATCTCTTATAGGTGTATCTCATCTTCCAACTTTGTAGGTCCAGACGCGCGCGCACACACACACACACACACACACACACACACACACACACACACACACACACACACACACACACAAACAAACACATACATCGTTGCTTCTTACCGCGCCTACCCTCTCTTCCCTCTCTTTTTCAATCTCTTCCTTTTCCTCTTTCTCCCTCCCTCCCCTAATTCCTCGATTCCCACTTCCATCAGAAATGCGAGTTCAGGTCTCCAACTTCCAACGGAGTGAAAGAAAAAAAATTGTTATGAGTTTTTTGTTTCTATTATTCAGCAGCGTCTGGAGGCGTTCCTGGAGTTAATGAAATATACCCGAAGTCTGTCGGAAGAAAAATGTAATGATAATAAAATAAAATGAAATAAAATATATATATATATAAAAACGCGATTTCATTAGCTTTGAATAGGGAATGTGCGCCTTTGAGAAAAAAAATGACGCCTTCCCAGCATACGGTGACAGTAGACAGAAGGAAAGCACACGAAACGGAAACGGAACCACATATATATAGAGACCGCTGGCACAAAAGCTTCTTCTCTCCCTGCGACCATTGGATTAGGTGACGCTTATCAAATTGCAGGTCAAACGAGAGTTCAATCCCATCCCTCTCTCTCTCTTGCCCCCTCGCTTTGTTGGTCTCCCAGATGAACATAGGAAGGGCAACGGAGAAATTAATTTTTCACGGATAGAACCGTCGTTTATCTTATCTGTTGTTGTTGTTGTTGTTGTTGTTTTTTTTTTAATCTTGAAATTTATGTCTGGTTATTTCTTTGTCTTTTTTAATGAAAATATAGGGTCATTCATCAGGTGCATTTGTCTTAAAAAATCATGATTTTTAAGCGACAAAGTTTAAGACTTTCTGTACTTTTTCTCAAAAGAAGAAAATAAGTTATTCCTACTTTTTCTCGCATATTTGTGGTTTGCTTGAGAATATATGGCATTGAAATCACCATTCTAAATGAAAAGCCATTTCACTATATGGATATTTTTGTATATATTGATAAATGTATTTACACTAAGTATAGTTTTTCATGTGTGTGTGTCTCTGTGTCTGTGTCTGTGCGTGTGTGTGAGTACTGAAGCTAGAAAAAAATTCTTTTATAAAATGTTCATTGACATCTGGGCGTAAGCATATACTTGATAAAAATGTCGCTTAATTGTATATTCTACTGTACACATTAGATACCATCAAACCTTCCAGTGATATATGTATATATATATATATATATATATATATATATATATATATATATATATATATATATATATATCAAGTCGAATTTCTCTGCCGTAATTTAATATAAATGCATAACAAGAAACTTTTTTTTTTTAAGTACACCAGCTAATCAAACCTTTTTCACATCCCTCGTGGGAAGTAGAATCGCGGATGTGAATAAACCTATAGAGCGTACTCCGTCCTTTTAAAATATTTGTTCTTTTTTTCTTCGCCTCTCTTTTTTTTCGATGAACACTACAGATCCCGAAGTTTTGTAACCTAATTAGAGAATACCTTTTTTTTTACACAAATAAAGTTTTTATTCACGTAATTCCATTTTTTTCTGGAACTTTTACTTATTTTTTTCTCCCTCCCCTTGATACCTTCCGACGTTTTTTTTTTTCTTTTTTTTTTTTTTTTTTTTTTTTACAAACCTCAAATTTACTTCCCTCTACCAGAGAGAATGCGACGCTCTCTCCTCACAACTTGAAGTCTTGGATGAGAAAGTTGACTTGGAAATCCCAGTTTAAAACTCGGAATGAAAAACTTATTTGTTGCGCACAGGAACCCCGTTTTTAAATTCGAAATCGAGTTGTGGCACTGTGAATCTGATTTTGGCTCTTCTCGCAGTGCCACGGCGGCGGGCGGTGCCACTCCCTGCCTCGCGCTCTCGCTGGCACTCTCTGTCGCTGGTTGGACTGTCTATTTTCTTTTTCTTTTTTTCTTGAATTTCTTCCTTTCGTCAGTCTTTCTTCTCTTGCATTTTTGATGATCCATTTTCTGTAACTGTCCTTTCTTCTCTCTTTCTCTCTCTCTTTTTTTTTCTCTCTCTCTCTCTCTCTCTCTCTCTCTCTCTCTCTCTCTCTCTCTCTCTCTCTCTCTCTCTCTCTCTCTCTCTCTCTCTCTCTCTCTCTCTCTCTCTCTCTCTCTCTCTCTGCCTCCCTCCCCCAAATTTATTCATCTCTCTCTCTCTCTCTGTTTGCCCGCTTCTCCCATTTTTTTCATCTATTTCTACTCCCTTGATGTCCTTTAATCTATTAAAAATAGTTATTTTATCTCTCTCTCTCTCCTTACATTTCGCCCATTAACCGCGTCCTTTCATCTTTTCCTCCGTTCGTCGCCCAGTCCTCCCTTTCCTCTCCATCATTCACCATTCTCTCTTCGTCTCGAGTTTCTGATTTCTACCGCCTCTGCTTTCATTTCAGTTTCCCTTTGCCGCGTGTTTTTGTCTTCCTTTTTTCTGTTCGTCTTTTCTTTGTATCTTTGTCTTGCTTTGTCTCGCTCATTTTCATCGTCGTTGATTAGCAGTCTCTGTCTGTCTTTTCTGTCTGTCTGTCTGTCTGTCTCTATTTATCAGACAATTTATTTATCTCTTTAACTCCCTTTTTTTCTATTATATCCGTTCCCCTCTTCCCTTCCCCTTCTATCTCCTCTTCCTATTCTCCTTCCACCTCCCCTTCCTCTTCCCCTAACATCTATATTCGCTATGCAATGCCTGAAGCCCTGAAAGTGTTTAGAAAGTCGGGGCGAGCGCGGGAAGTCCTCCATAGCTGAAAAGGTAACGAGACAGATGCGCGCCGGGCGTGTTTGGGCATAAGCTATGGCCGGCCCAAATGCATGGAAATGAGAGCGTGGGAAACCTTTGCAGAGAAATTAGTGCAACGGGCGTGGGTTGGGGACGTGGGTGGCCTGGGTGGGTGAGTGGGTGGTGGTGGTGGTGGTGGGGAGAGAGGGGGGGAGGGGAGGGAGGGGTAAGGGCGGCATAGGGTTTTCGATGAATTTGTTTGTGGTTGGGAGCAAATATTGTTCTGGTGTCGCATTACGTTTAGCAGTGCGGGTTGCATGGCGAAAATGTGGGAAGATTTTGGGGATAAATGCAGTGTGTGTATGCGCGTCTGTGCATCATACATACGTACATGAATATACATACATACATTTATGTGTATTTGTGTATGCATATATAAATCGATATATATACATATATATGTATATGTATGTAATGACCTGTAGAAACGTACATTTTTTTCCAAACTGAAAAAAAACATTAAATACAGAGAGGCAAGGACAAGTCACACCTGGACACTCAACCATATCCTTTTAAATACTACCAATTTCCCCGCCTTTGTAGTAACGTGATTTTCTTTCTCTTCCCAG